CATTGCAGTGCCCGATGGGCGCTGCCCGATGGGCGCACTGGTAAGCCTTTGTGTCAGACTGCTAGGTGGTGCAAACGTCCCGCCGCCAGACCCAAAATCCGTCCTGTGAAACACGCGGTGAAGGAGAAGCAGCCACTGGGCATAAAGCCTGTTTGAGCATCCAGTGTTCACCTGCCCTTCCCCTCCCCCACCCACCTATTGCACTCCGTCGTCCACTCAGTCTGATTGTAGCCCTCTCCATGTGTCACCACAGTGCATGGGGTCCTGGTGTCACAGAATCCAGGAAACATCTACCCTCTAACCATTTTGCCCACTTGGATGCATAAGGCTTTGAGTGCCCAGCAGGGGGCAGATCTGAGGGACCTGATTACATTTCAGGACCTTTGCCCCAGCAGACAGCAGGTCAGGTGTCAGGTGTCTCATTTTGTCTCTGCCTCGTCGTTTTCCAAATTCCACCAACATGGAGAGAATCAAGCAGGTCCGTGCGGGGCCCTTCCATATGGGGGCTCCCAGGGGGTCACTTACCCTCTGGGGTGCTGCTGCAGGAAGAGTTTGCTTTGACCCTCTCAGCGCCCTCTTTATTCATCCCACTTCTTAGGAACTGCTTAAAGATTGCCCCCTACTGGGGTGCCCCCCCCCCCCCCCCCGCTCTGCTTCCTTCTCCCCCTTTGCTTTGTCATCAAAGTTTGCCTTATTCACTTCCTTTGTTAGCAGTCATTTAAAGAGGTCTCTCTCCTGCCTTGGCTGGTGTGGCTCATTTGGTTGTGCATGTCCCACATACCAGGAGGTCATGGGTTCAATCCCCGGTTGGGGAACAGGCCTGGGTTGCAGGCTCAGTCCCCTTGGGGGGCATGCAGGAGGCAGCCGATCAATGTTTCTTCCTTTATCACTAAAGTCAATAAAAACACATTTAAAAAACAAACAGAGAAAGAGGTCTCCCTGCTGGGATGAGTCCATTGGCTGTCTCCTTGGTCTATCCTAGTGATTTTCAAGAGTATACCTCGAGAATTTTTTTTTTTATCCTCACCCGAGGACATTTTTGCATTTATTCTCAGATAGAGCGGGAGGGGGAAGGGAAGAGAGAGAGAAACATCAATGTGCCACCCACACGACCCCAACGGGGGCCAGGGACAAACCACAACTGAGGTACGTATGTGCCTTTAGCAGGAACCGAACCCGGGACTCTCTGGTCTGCAGGCCGATGCTCTAACTGCTGAGCCAAACCGGCCAGGCCATCAAGAATTTTTAAAACATGAAATACCTGACTATTTAGTCAGCGGCACTAACCTGTCATCCTTTAGACTGTCAAATAAAAAAAAAGACAGCAGTCAACTCAAAAAATAGATGTTCAGTATGAATGAATCAGATATATATAAAATTTCAGATATATATAAATTTTTTTTTTCAGATATATATAAATTTTTTTTGGTAGGCTGCAGAGTTGTAGTAATTGGGTTATGTGTGCCATGAGATGAAAAAGGTTAAAAATTGCTGGTCTATCCCATTCTCTGGGGCCTCTTCTTGGTTACGAGTTGTTTCAGAATAATTTCCTTCCTTAAGAAGGCGACCTGAGGCTGGTGGCGGTGTCTCTCGCAGCAGAACCAGGCTCTTCCCCAGCGCGTTCCTTGGGCCCTGACGTGAAGCTGTGCTGGGCACTGGCCAGGACCTAAGCTTGGCTCATCTCTCACTTTCACATTTGTTATTAAAGGTAACAATAACCAAGGGATAATAGTTTAAATTTTTTCTTATTATTTTGCATTTGCTTATTAAAAAAGTTTTTTTTTCTTTATTGATTTTAGAGCGAGAGGAAGAGAGAGAGAGAAACATCAATGAGCAAGAGCATCGATTGGCTGCCTCCTGCATACCCCCCACTGGGGATCTGGCCCATGAGTCCTGGGCATGAGTCCTGACCAGGAATCGAACCAGTGACCTCCTGGTGCATGGGTCAGCACTCAACCACTGAGCCACACCGGCCGGGTTTATTTTATTTCTTATTTTTTACTGTTGACTCTATTACAGATGTCCCCCATCCCCCACCTTTGCCTCCTTCCACCCTGCCCCCACGCCCCCAGGCCTTCACCACATTATTGGCTGTGTCCATGGGTTATGCATAGAGGCATATATATTCTTTGGTTAATCTCTTCCTGTCCTCCCCACCGCCCTCCCCTCTGAGATCTGTCGGTCTGTTCCATATATCTATGCCTCTGGTTCTATTTTATTCATCAGTTTATTTTGTTCATTAGATTACATCTATTAGTGAGATCATGTGATATTTGTCTTCCTCTGACTGGCTTATTTCACTTAGCATAATACCCTCTAGGTCCTTCATGCCGTTTCAAGGGGTAAGATTTCCCACCTTTTTACAGCTGCATAGTATTCCATTGTGTACATGTACCACAGCTTTTTTATCCACTCATCTCCTGATGGACACCTGGGCTGTTTCCAGATCTTAGCTATTGTAAATAGTGCTGCTATGAACATAGGGGTGCATATATTCTTTCTGATTGGTGTTTCGGGATTCTTAGAATATCAGAAGTGGGATCGCTGGGTTTTCAAAAGGCGGTTCCATTTCTTATTTTTTGAGGAAACACCATACATATATTTTCTGCCATGGCTGCACCAGTCTGCATTCCCACCAACAGGGCATTCGGGTTCCCATTTTATTTAGCATTTTCTTATGTATTCAGTGAGCTGATTCCCCAGGGGTTGGATCCATTGTCTTTAAATTCCACTGGTAGCTGTCACTGCTTCAAACCCTGGGGACCGGTGGCCATCAGGAATGAAAGGGTCTTCATTCTCTGCCTTTCGTCCTGCTGTCCCTGGGCCGTGTTTCAGTGAGCCGAGGTCATCCTAGTAAATCACACACTTTCTGACACCAACTGCAATACTGCAATATCATTCCGGCACTGACCGGTTAGTTCAGACACGGCCGCCAGGTCAAGGGCGCAGCTCCCAGTGTGACTGCCCGGGCGCCACTTGCAAGTCCAGGGGTCCCCATGCTATCCCCACCTCTGACCAACTGACTCCCAATTCCCGAGTCCGCACCAAACCCTCAGGTTCGATATTTTGCTCCGTCAGATAAGTCTGTTTGCCTGGGGCCTTGGGCACGCCAGATACTTTATGTTATTAATGTGATTTATGATGAGGGTCAAGGTCCACCCATTAATACTTTGACCTTCAGAGACTTGGAGCCTGAGTCGCTGAGGTCAGCCATGTGGGTGCTCCCTCCCTCTATAGCTGATCCCCAGGGGAAACCCTGCAGGCAAGGCTCAGGCGAGGTCCCAGGGAGCCACCCCGGGTGCTGTCCCAGCCCTGCTGCTGGAACGTGAGGTGCTGTCCACATAGACCCACTGGAAGAGGACAGCGGAGCTGTGCTCCCCTCCCGCCCTTTCCTGCCTAACCTTCACCTGTGACCTTGCTCTGTGACAAGCTGTAACTGTGGACGTGACCGCCGGGTGAGCACTGGGAAACCAACCTACAGCTTGACACACATAGATCGCACAGCCTTCCTGCGACCCTGTTACAACCGCTCGGGACAAAGTCTGTGAAATCTCCCAGACACCACGAGCCCTGGCGGTCCGAGCATCGGCCCGCGGACCGGAGAGGCCCGGGTTCGGTGCCCGCTAAGGGCACGCACCTCGGTTGCTGTTTGTCCCCGGCCCTGGTTGGGTCGTGCGGGTGGCAGCCACTCGATGTGTCTCTCTCACATCGATGTTTCTCTCTCTCTTTCTCCCTCTCTCCCTCCCGCTCTATCTGAAGATAAATGCAAAAAACAAGTCCTCGGATGAGGATAAAAAAAATGCATATATAAATATATTCCACGATGAATCATCAGCAAGTCTGACCAGCTCAACCTTCAAAATATATCCCGTATTGAATCACTTCTCACCTTTCTGGTCCTACCACTAAAGGGCAAGGCCCGGCCCCTTCTTCCCTGAGGCCCCCTCTCTGCTGCGGCCTATTCCCACCCTGTCCCCACCACGCAGGCCGTCGTCCTGTCCCTGAGCAGTGACCTCAGGGCCTTGCAGGGTCCAGGCCTGGACCGTCTTCTCCGGGGTCTGCACTGTGATGGCCCCTCCCACCTTCTGCTCTCATGTCAGCTCCTCAGAGACACCGTCCCTCCCCTTCCTGTCTGACCCTGTTCACCCCCAGGAGTGGCCATCTGCCTTCACTGCACTTTTCTCTCTTTTTATCCTCACTCGAGGACATTCTTGCGTTTATCTTCAGATAGAGGGGGAGGGGGAGAGAGAGAGAAACATCGACGTGACAGAGACACATCGACTGGCTGCCACCCACACGACCCCAACCCAGGCGATGGACAAACTGTAACCAAGGTACGTGCCCTTAGCGGGAACCGAACCCGGGACTCTCCGGTCCGCGGGCTAATGCTCTAACCGCTGAGCCAAACCGGCCAGGGCTCATTTTACTTTTACTTGTGCGTCTATCACTATTTAGCTTCTGTCACTACTTTTTTGCATATTATGCAAGGCGACGACCTCATTTTTCCTGTTCACTGCCCACGGGCATACCGAGAGCTCCCTAAATCCTCGAAGACTGGATAGCGCCCTGTGCGGGGTCGATACCTCTGTTATTTGGGTCTGGAAAGTGGTCTGACTTGTCCTTTGTCACAGAGGTCAGAGGTTGAACCCAGGAGGCCTTTCAGACCCTTACGCCCCCTCCCACAGCGAAGTGAGGGAGATTAGGCAGAACATTTTCTAGAACAATCCTGAGGACGGCCCTGTGCAGTCACAGGAGCAGCTTGGGGGGAGGGGAGGGTGCAGGGCTTGGCAGAAGGCCCCTTGACCGTGCCCAGGCTGTCCTCAGGCGGCAGCTGTCCCTGCACCCGAGGTCGTGCCCGGCACAGTGGCACTACACAAGGGAACCGAATTTCCTTCCCTCCCTCCCTCTGAAGGCCTGACCCACAGTGGTTGAGATGTCATCTCAACCCTGGAAACGGGGCCGCCCCGGCCCACCCCCGCTGCGTCTGTCTGCACTCCTACCTCTCACAGGGTGGGGGCAGGCCCCGGACCCCCAGCGCAAGCAGAAGCAGCAGGCACAGGTCCCAGGCCCTCTCGCGCATGGTGGCTGCAGCTGATGAGGAAGCTCAGGCACCTCCTGCCTGCTGGGGCACAGCTTGGCTCACATGCCCAGCAGGGCAGCCAAAGTCCACGTTCGAGGCGTGGTCAACCTGAGGGGTATGTGGCCTGCTTGCAGGGACCACACCCCCCAACTTTGTACTTTCTTCTTCTGCTTCTCATTTCATGGGTAGCACCTGCTCAGGCCCCTCCCCCAGAGTCACTTGGCTGGGGAGTGGGGGTGGGGGCATGGGCACCGGAGCCAACGGACATCATTCGGCCACACATCCATGACCCGGATGGATGCCAGGATGCCAGCGGCTTTGCCTTCGGACACTCGGACACTGGAACCAAGGTCCGCCTCCGTTTCCGCCCCGGTTCCCACCTCGGAAGGTTACGATCCTTTAACATTTCAAACAGAGAAACTCAAGAGGCTGTTCCACGTGGAGAGTGGACCTCAGTTTCCTACAAGAGAGGCCACGGGAGAGAGAACACGACCACCCCTCCCGAGGAAGATCAGGGAAGCCCCGACCTGCTGGTGACATCTGCAGTGGGTCTCAGGTCACTTCGGAGTGAGCCGAGGGGCCGGCCGGAGACCGTTCCAGTGAGCGCAGATCACACGTTAAGGGAACAGGAGCAGCTCAGCGGGGCCACACAGAACGCGGGGCTGGTGCAGGGAGGGTGGGACCAGGCAGGGACGTGGCGGCACCAGCCTGTGAACAGCCCGGGCCAAGCCAAGGAGGCAGCGGGTTCCCGGGGGCGCCAGCAGAGGCTGCTGAGCGGAGGTGGCAGGATTAGGTGGCTTTAGGGAGCTCGCCGGGCTCAGGCAGTGAGTCGAAGGGGCAGAGGGTGGGGCGGGCACCTTAGGAGGCTGGAGCAGTGGCCCAGGGTCGGTGACTTGGAATGACACAGAAGCAGGAGACGTACTGCCCGTGTCCCCATCTGTGCGCAGTGGCTGGTTGTCTCTGTCCTTCCTTCATGTCGCGGGCTCGCTGTCCAGGGTGTCAGCTGGAGGGCCTGGGCAGTGTGGGCTCCAGCGAGGGGGCCCTGCTGTCCCGACAGGGCCGGCTCGTCCCGCCTCCCCTCCCTGCTGTCCGCCTGCGGCGCCTCCCTGCTCCAGGAGCCCACACTCCCTTCTTTCTCTGCATTTTTATTGCGGGTAAGGACATGGAGCACTAAACTTGCCATCTCAACCATTTCTAAATGCACAATTCAACTGACATCACACCCACAACGTTGTGCAATGATCACCAGCCTCTACCTCCAGAACTTTTGTATAATCCCCAACAACCTCTCTAACAGCTCAGCAACACCCCGCAGACCCCGGAACCATTCCTCTGGTTCTGTGTGGGCGCATTTGCTGATTCCAGGCATTTCAAGTGGAATCCTGCAATATTGGCTGACTTCATGTAGCATAATCTTTTCAAGGGTCATCCATGTATCAGAATTTCCTTCTTTCTCAAGCTGACCAGTAGGTCATATTCCGTTGCCTGTACGGACCACATTCTGTTTATGCCTCACCTGTCATCGGACGCCTGGGTTGCCTGCCCCTTTCAGCTGCTATGCGGATGGTGTGTAGTACCTTAGGGACCCGCTTGCAGTGCTCTGAGCGGGTGCCTAGAAGTAGCTGGATCACATGGCAATTGGACGTTTAGTTTTTGAGGGACCGCTGGACTGCTTTCCACAGCGCCGTACCCTTTTCCCTTCTACCAGTGTCGCAATGGGTCCAGGTTCTCCATGCTCCCCAATACTTGTTATTTTCTGCCTTTAAAAAATAATGACCAGCCCTGGCCAGTTTGGCTCAGCGGTTAGAGCGTCGGCCTGCGGTCCGGAGAGACCCGGGTTCGGTTCCCGCTAAGGGCACGTACTTCGGTTGCAGTCTGTCCCCGGCCCTGGTTGGTCGTGCGGGTGGCAACCACTCGATGTGTCCCTTTCACGTCGATGTTTCCCTCTCTCTCTTTCTCTCTTCCTCTCTCTCCCTCCCACTCTATCTGTATAAGAAATGGAAAAATGTCCTTGGGTGAGGATTAAAAAAACAAAAACAAAAAAAAGCCTTTTAGCCCTGGCCGGTTTGGCTCAGCGGTTAGAGCGTCGGCCTGCGGTCCGGAGAGACCTGTGTTCGGTTCCCGCTAAGGGCACGTACCTCGGTTGCAGTTTGTCCCTGGCCCTGGTTGGTCGTGAGGGTGGCAGCCACTCGATGTGTCCCTTTCACATCGATGCTTCCCTCTCTCTCCCTCCTACTCTGTCTGTACAAAAAATGGAAAAATGTCCTCGGATGAGGATTAAAAAAAAAAAATTTTTTTTAAATAATGACCATCCTGTCTGGCTGGTGGGGCTCAGTGGATTGAGTGTCGTCTTATGGATTGAGAGGTCCCAGTTCGGATTCCCAGTCAGGGCACATGCCCGGGTTGCAGGCTTGATCCCCAGTAGGGGGCGTGCAGGAGGCAGCCAATCGATGTTTCTCTCTCACATCGATGTTTCTATCTCTCTCTCTCTCTAAAAAAAATCAATAAAAACATATTTTAGAAAAATAATAGCTGTCCTAATGGGGACAAAGCGATGTCTCATTGTGGTTTTGATTTGCATTTCTCTGAATGGTTAGTGATGTCCAGCATCTTAAAAAAATTTTTTTCTTTATTAGTTTCAGAGAGGAAGGGAGAGGGAGAGAGAGGTAGAAACATCGATGAGCGAGAACATCAATTGGCCGCCTCCTGCATGCCCCCCACTGGGAATGTGTCCCACAACCTGGGCATGTGCCCTGACCGGGAATTGAACTGGTGACCTCTTGGTGCAGGGTCAACATTCAACCACTGAGCCACACCAGCCAGGCATAATGTTGAACGTCTTTTATATGCTTATTGCCTATTTATATATTTAGAGAATTTTTTATTTCTTTATTGATTTTTTAAAATTAATTAATTTATTTGTGTTACAGATGTTTCTCCTCCCCCCACCCCAGACACCCTCCTCCCTATTTGGAGAAATGTTTACACAAGTTTTATCCATTTAAAATTTGTAGGAAGTTTTGAAATTGGGCAGTGTGAGTTCTCTGACTTTGTTCTTACTTAAAAAAAAAATATTGATTTTAGAGAGAGAGGATGGGAGAGGGGAGAGGGAGAGAGAGGGAGAGAGAGAGAAACATGGATGTGAGGGAGAAACATTAATTGATTGCCTCTTGTATGCACCTCAACTGAGGACTGGATCTGCAACCTAAGCATGTGTCCTGACCAGGAATTGAACTGGCGACCTCCTGGTGCACAGGACGATGCTCAATCAAATCAGCCACGCTGGCCAGGACTTGCTCTTCTTTTTAAAGATGTTTTCCACTATTTAGAGTATCTCTCATTTCCATATAAATTAGGAGATCACCATCTTTATTTTTGCAAAAAAGGCTGTTGGAATTTTGATAGAGATTGTGTAGAATCTGTAGATTGCTGTAGGTATAAAGGGCGACCTCTTATTATTGTTATTATTATCTTAACAACACTACGCCTTCTTTCCCATGAACTTTAGAGGACGTCCCCATTATTTAGATCTTCTTCAACTTCTTTTAGCAATGTTTTGTAGTGTTTAGTGTACAAGTCTTTCATCTTCTTGAATAAATTTATCCTAGGTATCGTATTCTTTTAGACCCTCTTGTAAAATGGAATCGCTTTAAACATTTCCCTTTCATACTGTTCTGATTGTATAACAACTCAACTGATTTTTGTGTGTTGATCATGTACTACAGCTTTGCTAAAAGTGTTTAGATCTTGCTTTTCCTGTGGATCCTTCAGGATTTTCTTCTTTTATTTTTATTTATTTTTAGAGAGAGAGGAAGGGAGAGGGAGAGAGAGATAGAAACATTGATGAGAGGGAACATGGACTGGCAGCCTCCTGCATGGCCCCCTCTGGCGTTTGGGCATGTGCCCTGACCAGGAATCGAACCAGTGACTTCTTGGTGCATGAGGCCAGTGAGCCTGGCCCTTTAGGATTGTCTATCTATAGAATCATGTCATCTGTGAATAGATATATTCTTTCTTTCCAATTTGAGAATCTTCTATTTCTTTTTCTTGTCTTATTACTCTAACTAGAACTTCCAGTACAGCATTGAATAGCAGTGGTGAAAGTAGTCATCCTTGTCTTGTTCTTGATTTTAGGGGGAAAGCTCTGTCTTCCACTATTGAGTATGATGTTAGATATGGGTTTTTAATAAATTCCCTAGATTGTACTGAGGAAGTTCCCTTCTATTCCTACTTTCTTAAATATTTTTATTATGGAAGGGTGTTGGATTTGGTCAAATGCCTTTTCTGCATTAGTTAACAATCATGTGGGTTTTTTCTCCTTTGTTCTATTAATGCTGCTCATTACATTGATTAAATTTTTTATGTTGTACCATCCTTGCATTCTTGGGATGAATATCACTTGCATGGTGTATCATCTTTTTGAAATGCTGTTGGATTTGGTTTGCTGGTGTTTTGTTGAGGATTTTTCCATCACAGGCATAAAGGATATTAGACTGTAATTTTCTTTACTTGTGATGTTTATATCTGGCTTGGGCATTAGGTCGTGCTGGTCTCATGGAATTAGTTAGAAGGTGTTTCCTCCTTAACTTTTGGAAGGGTTTGAGAAGGATTGGTGCTAACTCTTCTTTAGATGTGTGGTAGAGTTTGCCAATGAAGCCATTGGTATTAGACTGCATTATGGTTTTTCCAGTCTCCAGAGAAACAGAAATGATAGCGTGCGTGTGTGTGTGTGTGTGTGTGTGTGTGTGTGTGTGAGAGGGGGGGGGGAGCACTGACATGGAGGAATTTTCTCACATGACTGTGGATGCTGGTGAGTCCAAAATCTGCAGGATGACCAGCCGGCTAGAAACAGCGAAGTGTTGCAGTTTAACCTGACGGCAATGTGCTGGCAGATTTCCCTGTACTTCTGAGGAAGCTGGTCTTTCTCTTTTTGTGGGAGACATTTTGCATGGCGTCAATTTTGTTATAATCTGCTCTGCCATCACGGGCCCCAAGGCAGGATATCTCTGCATTCTGCATTTCTTTATCTCTGCATTTT